GGTTGAGTCATTGTTTGTGCTGCTGATGAATCAAGGGCGAGGACTTGGGAGCTCGCTGGTCTGGCAATGAGCAACCATCGATGTGGCTGGCATTGTTTTGACCCACAGGATTTTGGTAGGCCGAACTCTTCTGCTCCTCCTCTTCCCCTTTGGATGACTCAGCGCAGAGTCACGTAAAGGAAATAACTTCAGGGACCATGGAAAGTGCAGAGCGGGGCACTGAAGTTCAAAAGAACTTGCAGCGCGAAATGTTGCACCAATAAACACACACACACATGCACTCAGTCACTTAAGTCGCCAACTCCAACTGCGACTGCGACTGCGACTGCGACTGGGCAACTACATATCTTTGCGATTTCAGTGCTCGTTCCTTAAGCCGGCTGCACTCGTAAAAATTATACTTTATATGTTAAATTGGATGCACTGTCACCAGCGAGGCTTGTAATGGGCTTAGGGCATAGCTATAAGGTATATTTTGAAGGCAACCGACAGATTACCTGGCAGCAGATTACAATATCACTGGATAATCGCAAAGCTGGCATCGTTAGACCCTGAGAAATGGCCGCACACTCGCCGAAATTCTGCAGAAGAAGCTGTGGAGGCAGCCGCAGCAGCGGCAGTGGCAGTGGCAGTGGCAGCGGCAGCGGCAGCGGCAGCGGCTGAAGAGAAGCTTCAGCATGCGACCTTGAAAATGCAAACTATGTCGCGAGGGCGCTACAGACACATACACACGCAGAAATATGCGCAGACACTCCACAAATACCACACACAAGCAAACGCACACACACACACACACATACACACACGCAGAGATACTCACAGCAGAAGGCCTGAGAATGGGAGCTACTCACGCAGTCAGCCAAAGGGAAACCAAACTGATGTGCATGTGTGTGTGTGTTTGTGCTTGTGTGATGTGTCTGTCTGCGTGTGTGTTTGTTTGCCCTATGCAAGAAAACGAGTTTCGCTGCCAGCGCTCAAGCTGCATCTGTATCCCGTATCTGTATCTAACAGATACGCAGATACTTCGCATGCAAACCCGAAAGACCGCAACGCAAAAGTCGGTCTTTGTGCCAATAGAACTTAGAATGCGGTAGGACGCCAAAGTCAACTTGATGTTGTTTGTGTATGTGTGCGTGCGTGTGTGTGTTTATGTGTGCCTGACTTGTTGTTGTTGTCTTTGGTTCGCTGTTATTATGACGCGCCACAGGAAACGGCAACACTGCCCCCAGCTCTGGGCTTTGATCTTCAATCTGTTTTGTGTCTAAACAAAATTTCGCATGCAGCTGTATGAATATAGGCATATACATACATACGTATGTACGTCTTTGTGTATCTATGTCAGTGCGGCTGCCGTTTGTCCCAGTCTCCAAATCTGAGTTGTTGGCGGCGATATGCAAGATTTAATTTGACTTCAACAATTTTTTACTGCTGTGCGACACATTGCAAGATTTAATTAAATTCATTGTTTGCTCTCAAAATTTTGACACATTTCATGCGGATTTCAATTTGATGTTGCTTCAGCTATATAAAATCCTTTTTTATACCCTAAAGCCATTGGGAATATCAGTTCTCGTTGGAACAGTGTGGAGTATGCTTACTAACACAGATTGTCTGGGATTCAGGGTATCTCCTAGTCTATCTCGTTACTTACTTCAACTTATGCCTATAGAGAATCAGTCGCTCTGGTGATGTTTGTACGTTTTAATCAAATCTCTTCAATTTCTAAACATTTGAAACTGTTCTTTAATGGGAACTCTTTGGAAGACCGCGAATCTGTGCACCATTTTACTCAATTTTTTTTGGAGGCTATATAGTCTTCTAAATTCATATATGCATTGTCTACTTTTAATTAAATTTACTCGAATTTTCATTTAATACAAAATAGTTACTCCTAATATTATTTACCATGTTTCAATAAGAACTTCGTCATAGTCTTTAGTCTATTTTAGTATAATTATTCGGCAGTTATTGCATCTAAACTGGTCAATTAATATACTAAAAGAGATCAAAAATATACAGTACTGAGGGTATTAATTATATTTTAATAAAACCAAAAATTCATCTAGAACTGCTAATTGTTTCGTAATTAAAACTGCTAGTTTTTTATTCAAACTACTTTACGTGAAAAAAATAACGTTATAATGATTGATAACGTGTAGACAACATTTTGAAGTTAAAATCTGCTAACTTTAAGTATAAACATATTGCTGAAATTAATATAAGGGTTTCTATATACATATATATTGAGTTGATCCAGCAGGTTTCATGAAGACTATTAACTTACAATCCAACAATTAATTGCTGTGTATAATATCAATATATATAATGTAATATCATAATAAATTATATGTTATAACAATATTTAAAGGACTACATTCAGAAATCCATCCACTTAATTCAAGTTAAATTTTTTACTGCAGTTTCAAAACAGTATGAAATAGGGGGAAAAAAAATGTATGTATATATCGTGTAATTGGAATATTACAGTGGAAAACAAATTATTTATTTATTTATTTATATACACTGAACCCACTGAAAATAAGAAATCAGGGTATAATGGTTTGTGAAAAGTATGTAACAGGCAGAAGAAAGCATCGCAGACCCCATAAACTATATATATTCCTGATCAGGGCGACGAACAAAAAATCTGTTAAGTCAATCAAATTTCTCTTTAGTAAAATCTTCAATCATCAAATGCTAACAGTTTGATCACTTCTCAGCTGTATCACCTAGATACACATATAATAGTACACATACATAACATATATATATTGTATATATAAAGATGCCTTTCTGCGAGATCGTATCGCACTTTATGTGTGATCGATCCAAGCTTCCAGGAATGCATTAAGCTGGCCCTAGGTCGGGCTCTATAGCAGCCATATCCAATGACAATAATGCGTCGGAGTGCTGTACATATAAAGATCAGCGTTTTATGCATCCTTAACTTACACTCTATTTTAATTGCCGAGAGATCCTCACAATCACAGTTGGTGCCTTCGGTCCAGCACACCGACCGAGGGCCAAGCTTATGTGCAATTAAACCAGAGTTGCCAGAGGCTGGGGCAGAGTGGCAGAGGGACGGGACTGATGGAAGGAGGGGGTACGAGGCAAGGGGCACGGGCAAAAGCAAATTTACGTCCGCTGTCAAAAGGCAGCGACGTAGCGTATTTAATATTTTTCAGCGTGTTTTACCATTTCATGTTGTGTCATCATCATCGTCAGCATCAGCAGCGGGCGCAGACGCAGCGCCCAGCTCCCAGCTCGCCGTCTCCGGCTCCGGCTCGTGGAGTTGCTGGGAAGAGAGAACCCAAGAAGAAGATACAGATACATTCGGTGCTCGGAGTGGTCAATCCTGTTCCTGGGGCTTCTGTGCGGGCATGGCAAAGGCAAAGGCAGCGGGAGAGGCTGAGGGTGAGGGAGAGGGAGAGGGATACAAATTTGTACGCTCAACTACAAACTAAAAAGTCTTAAAGTCTTAAAAGCATTTGCAGAAACGAAGGCAAAGAGTAAACACAATAAAGGCATAAAAATTGCGAGTGAGCAAACAAATAAAAGGAAACAAGGCAGCGAGGAGGGACGGTGAGACGGAGGGATGGATGGACGGGTGGAGGGCTTGGCTTGTTGTTTTGTATCTGTGCTGCTCATTTGCACTTGGAATACAAAAGATACATTTTCGTAAGACCATTTTGACATGACAAGATAACGACAAGCAATCCGACCAAGCGACCGGACGACAGCTCGGTGGAGCAGCGTCCGGCGGGGCGATCGCGGCGGCAGTTGCGCCTGCTCATTGGCTCCTTGCCGACCTTTTGCCTGAGTGTTTCGTATTTTAATTTTCATTACGGCCACACCGTCGCATTGGTAGGTTCTTGAGACGACGACGACGACGGCGACGGCAACCGGCAGCGCATAAAGTCAGCGCAAGGCAGCGCAAGGCAGCGCAAATGTGAGTATTTCTCAGAAATTGCAAATTATTTTTGAGCTGAGCGCCTGCGCCTGCGAGCTGCCTCGAGATGCCTCGAGTTGCCTCGTCACAGGTACGACTCGCAACTGGCGTCGCAGGCAGCAACAGCAACAGCAACAGCAACAGCAGCAGCAGCCACAGCCGCCAAAATGAGTTAGCATCCCAATCCCAATCCCAATGTGTGTGCATGGGTGTGTGTGCGTGTGTGTGACTTTTGCTGAGTGCCGAGCGAAACAAATGCGCAGATACTTTTGCCTGCATTGACACTCCCGCGCCGCCTCCCTTCAAGTGGCAGTACAGCTTGGACCTGGGCCTGGGCCTGGGACGCGGCCATCAAGTGCTCCAGTCTGCCCTCCGCTGCCGCTGCCCTATAAAGTCGTGTTTATGCACTCTCATAAACATTTTTATTTTAATGATTTTTATTATTGCGCACATTCGTTACTTTTTATGCGAGGCAAGCAGAGAGAGAGAGAGAGGGAGATGATCAACGTGCAGCCATTGGCTACCCTTAAGCTCAACCGCGTCCTGATCTTGACACTGAGTGCTCTGTAACGACATTCTGCATTTATGCGAGAATCAGATAGCAGTCCTTCTAGAAGCTCTTACTCAATTTCTATTTACATTTTGCAATTGCATGCCACATGTTGCAGTTGTTGCTGCTGTGTGGCCAGTTGCTGTTGCACTCGACGTCTCACCCTTTTGGCATCATAAAATGTAATTTACGTTCGATTGCGAAGTTTTCGCCTTGCAGTGGACAGCGCCGCCGTCGCGGATGACACATAAAATTCCACATTTACGACTCCTTAAGATTCAACTCGTGTATGGCGAAAATCTGAGCGACGCTCCAAAGAGCCAAAGCCGGCTTATCCATTTCGGTTTCATTAAAAAAAAAAAAAAAAACAAGTAACAGAAAAGAAGAGCTGAAACCCATAAAAATTAAATTCAGTCTGCCACTCAGATAACTCGAAATATAGATACATACATTGTTTGAGCGCATAGATCCCTGCTCTCCACATAGATTACTTCAGTTTTGTTAATGCTAAACATGTTTGTTTATTAACAGTGAACGTCCTAGACTATGGTCAGAGTATTCGATGGCTATCTATGGATAAGTGTCATTTATGCTAACTTTCCTGCTACCTATGAGTAAATTATTCTACGTGTGCTAAAGTCACTTGGGAACGCAACCGCCGCCGAGGCGTGCCACAGTGCGACGTAGCTTGAGGATCTCGGCCTGTAGCTGGTCAACGCTGGTGTCCATTGGCTTGCTCTTTGGTGGAGGTGCTGCTGCAACGGCAGCGGGCGCTGGCACGGGCACTGAAGCAGCCGTCGGTGTGGGTGTGGCTGTGGATATTGGTGTGATGCTCGGTACTGCTGTGGGTGCAAATGGCAAGGCAGCGCCCTCCACACTGGCAATGGACAAGTTGGGATGAATTTGCGGAGTAGTGACGTGCACGTTGTTGGCCACACCAGACGGTGGCACAGCTGGACCAACTGTAGCAGTAGCTGCATCTGGAGCAGTGGTTGGCGTTGCTGCAGATAGCAGTGCCAGTCCACGATGTGTGGAGAGTAATTTCTGCAGCTTTGCTGTGGCGCTCTCGCGCTGTGAGTCGAGCAGCATTCGCATGGCCTCTTGATCTTCCGACTTGGCCTTCTCCATGGAGTCAGAGCCTTCGTCTATGAACACATAGTTGATGACATGCGCATGGGTGCCTGGCTTAATTCGATAGATGGGTTGGCCCTCGCCACTGCCCGCTGCAGCAGCCAGCGAGGGTATGTCGCCCATTTTGGCCATTTCGCCGCCCACTTGGAAAATCGATGTCTTGCCATTGACCACCAAGGGCTTGGGCATAATGTACGGTGCGGAAACAAACTGTGAGCACTTGCGTTTGGTCACCTCGACATATTTGCTCACCCGGCAGCCGCTCGTACTGCAGGCGCGCAGAGGTGCTGCCGTGGGCTCGCCGCCGGCACCAGCTGCAGCTGCTGCAGTATTTGAGCTTGCCGTTTGCATCTGTAAATGCCATTAGTATAATTTCAATGGATAAACACTGCTTTGCATTTAATCTTACATTAGTTTAACTTTGTTTTCGTCTTTGTTTGGTTTTCTACGAAGCGTCTTCGATTTTTACACAGAAATTCTTGTACTTTATTCGGTCACATTGATTTATGTGCTCAGAGAGAGAGAGAGAGAACAAATTATAGCAAAGAGCTGAACCAGTTCAAGTTGCTTGTTTTAAATTAACTTTATACGTATTATTTAATCATTTTTTCAAAACATTACAATTCAATAATAACTTTAAAAAATTTTCTAGTAAATATTAATGTAAAATAAGCATATTTCAACGTATTCTGCTTACTACGAATTATACAATTAAAACAGTTCACGACCAAAAGAACTTGCTCAAAATCAAAACGAACTATTTGACTCACTAGCAGCGCGCATGACTAGTTATCGATTGTGACAGCGGTCGATAACATGTTTGGCTGATACTTTGGCGCGAACGAAATAAAATTTAAAAGTAACACATTTTACAAAATCTATATGGAAAATAAAAAAAGAATAGGAAAATATGATTATTAAATAATTAGTAATATTTAGTAAATGTATTGAAATCAGCATATTTACCATTCATATACATACATATGTGTTCAGCGGTAGCTTCTATATTGCAAGTTGCAACTGTAAAACTGTGGCCGTGACCAGTCCATTGAAATGAGGTGCAATGACCCAGAAGACCTCGAAATACAACATTTTGAGCAGCCGTAGCGAAGTGCAGGCGCGACAGACACCCGCTTCATTTACATTCCCGAGTACTTTACAAATGGGCTGGCAACGCCAAAGTTGAGTCGTTAAAAGCACTGAAAGCGTTTATCATGAGGCGGTTCGCAGACCAATGCCCGGTTCTGATGCCAGCTTCTTTAATTTTCATGTCCATCTCACGGCAACAGTCGCTCAAAGCGCTCGAACGGACTTGCAACCTCATTGTTGGCTCAAATGAAATAATTACTTCAGCACACGTTGACTGACTGACTGCATGTTATATATACATACATATGTATATATATACTTATATGGGTGCATGTGTGACTGTGTGTGCATCCTTAGTCATGACCAATATATCGACTCGCATTAACAACAACAACAACAATGCGAACCGCAGCCGCAGTTGCAATAAAAATCTTCGGACATATCCACGTCGCGCCCAGTCCAACAATAATAAGAAATGAAATGCCATTTATTAAGCATTAATAAGTGCGAGCGTCCATGTCCATCCATCCATTTGCGCTGCACTTGGCTCGAACCGCAACCGGCTCTCGCCCTCCACCTGGCCTGGCTACTCTGACTCAGTCTCCCAGTCTCCTGCTCTGGCGTTGCCTGCAGCCAAGGCGGGCTGGGTTCTTCGTGCTTTCTGCCTGCCTGTAGCCACGAACTTGACTCGTGTTGGGTCAGCTTGTCTGTCTGTCGATTTATGTTTGTATGAATTTGAGATATTCGAACAATAAAATATCTTGAAAGCTCTCTGCAATTGCTGAGCATTACTTGAATATACCTTAAATGATTTTCATTCGGGCATAGGATGATTTTCTCAATTTGTCTTCTTAATCGATGTATTTTAGCAAACTGAATTCGTTTCATATAATATAGAAAAAGACCAAAGAGTAATATTCCTTATTCAACGAGAGCACAGCGAGATATACTAAGTACGTTTCTCTTCCAAACTGATTCCAATGTAAGCCGCAAATTTAATTAGTTTCATAAAAGCGAAGACTGCTTAAAATTCACATCGAGTAGCTGGGAACAGCCCCCAAAAGTTGTTGCGTTTAGTCTCTGCGCTGTTTTTAGTGGCGGCAACATGAGAAAATTTCATTGCCATTGGCTCCTCATAACAAAAATGTGCAATTATGAAATGTAAAGCGATTTGCTCTTAAAATGCACACAGTAAAGGAATCCTGAAAGCCAGAAATAAGGCTACGAAAACGGAAATGTTTTTTTCGAGGTGAAGCCAAATTCGGAAAGACTTATTGGAGGACCTGAAATGACTTTCAGTAATATTAAAACCGGGAGATGCAAAATAAAAGCTAAGAGATGCAGATGTAAGCATCATCTTTATCCATAGAAGCCAGAAAATGCAAATCAGTCTAATAATCAATAATAATCCGTGGGCAAAACTAAGAGATCGTAATATTATAATAACCATAAATAAATGAATATTTAAGATTTTTAAATTTATTTTGCTTAAGGTAGATGTGGATATATACTTTTGTAATACATATATACCTATATTTAATATAGGTAGTTTGGTTTCCATTCCTATCAAAAAGTCCTTGCAGCTGTTTATATTTTGTGAGTTTTAATCCTAGCTAATTTGCTGATTAATAATAAACATCTAATGATTGACCTCAGAATTTTAAAAATATATTTAAGTACATACACAAAATAATATAGATACTTCATCGTTTTCAACTCATATATGTATATAAAAGTAAAAATAATATATTATATCAATTGGTAGAGAACTGAGGCAGATCACTTTTTCGATTTGTTACATATTCAAAATGAAGCTTTACATTTTCTCGACGGCTTATAATGGTGATATGCTTCGCGTTCGTTTGAGCAGACAGTGCTATATTGACTTAAGTGTAGATGATTAAGAATATATTACTATATATTATTTATTCTTTCCATGTAGGAACATGCTCGGAACTTATCTATATCGAATTTGTATTGGTTAGAGATAAAAAAAAAATACAACTTAATATTTAAAGTTGAGTAGCACTTTTTTTTTAAGTTTTAAAAGTTGACTTTTATTAACTACAAAATAATAGTTTATATTAAAAATGTAATTGAATTCAAAAGTCTTACTGAGTATACAAATGAGCTATATATGAGACCTTTTACATAGTAGAATTATGACGTATTTATACAAGAAATATGAGGCTATATAAGTTGATTTTTAGCGTTAGTAGATTATAGGAAAATTGGCAACGATATTTCAATTGAAGCAGGCGCCAAGTGAAATTGGTAGTGCAACTAGCTGCTGGCTGGCCTCTAATGAGTCTTCTGTCTGCTGATGGTGGAGGAGAAGGCGCAAATATCTGCTCAAAATAAGTCGCATTTAACTGAGTTTCGCTCGTTTTTGGTAAGCAGGTTTCGCAGACGAGGCAAAGTGAAAAAGAAATTGGAATTCCTTGTCTGGGCAGACACCCAAGCAGCCGAGCTAAACCAACCAAAACAAGCAGCCAGCCGACACATGGCATTCAGTTCTCAGCTCGAGCAGAGCAGAGCAAGAATAACCACAAAAAACCAAGCAACAATAAAACCAAAATGCCTCGGGCGCTGTACTTGTGCTTGATCAAGTGAACAGCAGACGGTAGACAGTCGACATCCTCGTCTGGCCTCCACTGCGCATGCTTAGCTGTTAGATACGCGCAAGAGATACAGATACAACTACAGCTACAGATACAGATACAGAAGCACGTGCAAGCGTTGAAAAGGGAAACCGAAAAGGCAGCACAAGAAATAATAATAAAAAGGAAGCCAAATGTTTTACTTGACCTTGACTGTGAAATGCTCATTGCAAAAGCGTAAAAAATACATATATATATATATATATAAATATACATACTCACACTCACACAACATAAAGTATCTGTATCTTTTGCCTATGTAGTGTTGTCTTTTTCGTTTTGCAGCTTTACAAACTATATAAAGCTCAATTGCTCATGAATTCCATATAGCCTATACATCCATACATATATATTCTCATTCTGTAGATCTTTGCCAGACTTTCTAGTAATCAAAACTCAACGATTTCTTGTTACCTTTTCAGATGAGTGCAGCTCCACCCTGCACATAGCTCAGTTCTTTTCCAAAATTCAGCTGAATGCAGTTGCAGTTGCCAGTCAAGCAATAATCCCATCCAATCTAACCAATATGAGCACTTAGAAGACCCCACACAAACACACACACACACATACACACACACACCATATATATACACATATATATATTTATATGTATATATATATATATGTGCTGTAGACAATACGTGTACAACTGAGCACTGAGAGCAGCAGTTTTGTAACCCCCAAGAGAATTGCGGAACCAACAGGTACGCCACAAGTCTAAACATAATCTATAGCTATAGAAATGTATTATTTAAACTATTAATATCATATCATGATTGAGTTTCTACTACCACTATAATATTCTTAATCAAGGAATCTGAAAAACCAAACGTGAAACTGTAGGGAATACAACATTATATCGAAATTTCAAGCTATTCATATACGAGTTCCCATAACTAACTGAATTTGACTGAGCAAACGCCATTCAAAAATTTATAATTAATATTGCTGATATCAATTTCGATTCAGTTAGCGTTCAGATTTCATCTGGATATGATTTAAAAGATTTTTCAAATTCCTACTCTCTATTTATCAAATTCTTATATACATATGTAAATAAAATGCGGTTAAACACTTGTTTCAATTACAATCATTTAAATTGCAGGATGAGATGATTTCTCTTAAAGCCACCGAAATTGATTTATTTAATTCAATAATCGATATTTCATTAGTTATTCGGTTCGAGCTCATCTTAGAATTCGAACGTTTCTAAGATATATCGTTACTTTATAGAATTTTAATAATAAAATAATAATTATATATTGATATATTCCATTAAGTAGACTTTAAAGAATGAATGAAATCAAAAACAGAATCCTTCCATTTCTTCCTTCTAGAGGAAGGAAAATAATAAAATAAATAGCAAATTCCATTTCAAATGTATTTCTAATGAACTTTTTTAACCAAATTATAAATTTGATGAATGTAGAGCAAGGCGCAAATGATTGCCTTACGAATCAACTTGGAATGGAGTCTGCAGGACGCAGAGCCAAGAGCAGTTGAATGTGAACCGTGACGCTGTTCCCCATTTCGATTCTGATTGCTGTGCAACGTTGGCGACGTAGGCGGCCGATGGAGCCTGTTGCAGCTGCCACTTGGCACACGACAAAAAGTCCTTTGGGCTTAAGTTGTTGTTGTTGTTGCTGTTGCTGCTGTTGTTGCTGTTGTTGCTGTTGCTGTTGCCGTTGCTGTTCCTTTTCGGTTGTCTGTTGCTCTGCTTGTTAGCCGGAAAGGTGTTGCCTCAGACAATAAACTAATTAAATTTAATTTAAAACAGTTCCTGGCATTTCATCAGACCAACCAAAAATGTTTCATATTTAATTGGCCGGCTGCTGTTGCTGTTGCTGTTGCAGTTGTTGGTGGCAGGCGGGCGAGTGTCCTAAATTACCACAAC